AGTTGGGTGACTGACTTGGTCAACTTCGGTCTAGCTTGAATAATGATGTCATGGGGCCCCTAGAGAAGATTTTCCCGAGCCCCGCGAATTCTCTCGGCGGCCCTGCCCCCTAATGGTGTCATTTTACTCACAGGAGGAAACCAGGGTACCTGGATAGAACCTGTGGTGTTTGTTAAGGTGGATTTCCACTTGCAGAGAAATATTTCGCTTGATCTCTTTTGAATTATGACCATCCGAATAAATCAGTTCTACTTGACCGCTCACAATTCAAAAGAAAAACATTTTTCATTCTATATTTTCTTTCTGTAATCTATCCATCTACGGAGTATCTATAGCATGTCTAGTGATTATCTTCTTTGTATCTGGTATCTGTAAAAATACTGATCTAACTTTGAATCATACAGTAGGCGTATCTTTTCTGCCAGTCTTACTGTCTGTCATCTATTTATGTTTACTTTTCATCCTTTAGCTGCACATCGTATTCTCAATGAATAATCCAATTATTAATCGTGTTATCTATAGTAGTAGCCTTCCTGGCTGTCATCCACTATCAGCGTCGCTCGTCCCTATCATATCTATGAGCAAGGCTTTAGATTTACCTTAGGTACACACGCAAAAATCTTACAATTACATCTCAGGGTAGCAAGTCTGCCAACAAGCCGTCAACAAGTTGTGTTCGCATTGCTTGTCGCAAGTTGTCAACAGGTTTGGAACAACCTAGTTGATATTATCAGACTTGTTGCAAGGTTGTTCCAACAAGTCCGATACAGTCATGATATAACAATATTGTTACAACCTTGTGTCGTCAACCTTGTAACATTCTTGTTATATCATGACTGTATCAGACTTGTTAGAACAACCCTGTAACAAGCGATATAGCAACAAGCTTGTTACAAGTTGTTAACAGCTTGTTCCAAACTTGTTACAACAACTACGAACAAGCAGTGGGTCAACTTTCCAAGTAAGCGTATTATAAATCTCGTTTTCTCTTTCTAAGGGGAATGTATGGAAAAGTACAGTGGAGGTGGTTACAAACATGCCTCTAAGTACAACCAAAATTCAACATGTGTGGAAGGTGGAGGTGAATGGTTTGAGTTCAGTAACTACTTGGAAGAACCGACTGTGCAGTATAATAGCAAAGGAGCTTGTGATGGCGCCAGTACAAAAAATATCTGGGGAATACCTTACAGAACACAGGACTTGGATACTAAGCCACTCAAGGAGAAGTGTTTGATAGGTTTGGACAAACCACAGTGTGAACTAGCTCCCTGGTCACGTGATAATCACCTTGGCAACGGCCGCGATGGCGTCCCGTTGAATTATACTTGGGTACTACCCCATTTTCAGAAAGATCAACGTTGTATTTTTAGAATAAGGTAGGAAACGATTCTGATTATACTATTCGGATTTTAGTTGCATAGATAAAGTTATATTCAGATTTTCTTCATAGCTGTTTATCTTGTAGATATAACATCTCAACAGATGACTATGATCCCTTCAACACCAACAGCAGCCACAACCAGAACTTGTAAGTACGAACAGAAATGGACGTTCCAGGTCCAGAGCCCCTACGTACATACGTAAAAACGGAAACGTACTGAACAAACCTGCAGCAGATTTGTAGCAATGCTGTTCCAACAACTTGTCGACAGGATGTTTTCGTACTGCTTGTTCCCAGCTTGTTGACAAGTTGTCTTGTTGACAACTTGCCACAAGGTTGTTGGGCTTAACACTGTTAACAGTCTTGTTACAAGTTGTGTTGTTCTGACAACTTGTTATCGTCCTGCAATTCAACAATTTGTCAACAAGTTGCGAGTGACAACCTTGTAACAACTTGATTAAATAACAGCATTGTTACAACTTGTTGACAAGCTTGCTACAAGCCTGTTAAGAACACATCTTGTTGAGAAGTTGTGAGATTTTTACGTTAACTTTGTACGTTTGTGTCGTTCGCCATAGCATTTTACAGTTAGCTTTTGAGTTCAACGGCGAGGTACGTATTTCTAAAAATCAACGTTGTCTAAACCGAGAAAATCAAAGCTAAAGTTTTGTAAATTAACATGACTTTTTATCACATATAAAACCACCGACACGGCAGTGATTTCCTTTGTCTTTTCCGCATGAAATATTAATGCTTTTTTAAGCATAATTTTGTTTTGTGGAAGCAGCACATACATTTACGTGATACTTACTTGCAACTGTGCCCCTAATCCTATTGTGCGCGACACATGAGGATATAACCAGCATCTATTCCTTTGTTTAGAGCTGGTTTGGTGATTTCTCCAGTTCAGCAAAATGAGCTGGTAGATATTGGTGCAGCTCAGACACCTCTTAGACTTGCAATCAACACCGCACAATATGGACGTACTTTCCAAGACAGATCTCATGTATTTAAGCTAAAGAAACGTCCAGCTGGAATTGCAGATACTGACACCATCTACAACCTGAATGTCAGGGGTAAACGCGGCAACATCGTGCAAACATACCCGGCTGTAGAGTATGATTTTATACCCAACAAATTGACCTTGATGGAAAACGACCTGGTCCATATTCAATGGACAGGTATATAATAAGAATTTTTTTGCAATTTAATTAAGACTGATTTCCAATCATCCCGCACATTTATTCGTAGTGTTTTGTATATATTAGTGTGATTTGGTTCACAAATTGTTAGAGTGCTTGATAACATAAAGATAAAGCGAATAGTATAGTGTAGTAATTCGTCTCGGAACTAGCTCTGGTACACTTGCTGACTCACTGTCATATATTCCATTCCTCCAGGTTCAAACACTCACAACAATGGAAACCCAGCTGGGGATGGACAAGCTGGTAACGCCGGCGAAGGTAGAGAAGGTACGTGACGCGTTTCCAGGCCACCTCGGTCAACAGCTTGCACCAGACTATTCCCTAGTCCTCTGTGCATGCCTTTGTTTTCCCGTAACCTGAAGTAACCTGCATATTAATGAGAACGCGTACTAAGAGGCCTAGGGAGTAGGCTGAGCTTCCAAACGTTCCCTTCCAAACGGAACGGATTATTACACATATTTTTATATTTGGAACCTTTATGGAAGAAACATAATTATTATGTAACTTCCATAAAGGTTCCAAATATGGTATCCTACTAACTTTCGTTACTTGCTATCCCAGGTACGGACCGCAGCAACATCGTCGAAGTACTGGACCCGATAGACAACTACCCAGTCCCTTTCGAGAACTCGACCATGTTCTCTGGAGCCAAACTAGTCTGGTCTAGCTCGGATCAGACAAAAACTTTAAACGACGTGGCTGTCAGTTTGGCAAGTGTTGGCTACTACAGCTGTCTCACTGGATGCAATAGTTCCCCCAAGAAAAAGAATCCCACGTTGAATAATTTGTTAAATAATGCTGCTGCATCATACGAAGGCATGGTCTTACAGTTCGCCAAGGGCGAATATCATTATATTTGTTCAAGGAATAATAATTTCTCCAACCGCAGTCAGAAAGGAATGATTACTGTTGTGAAGAAACCGTAATGAGTCACTAGAAAATATTTTTATTAAACTATTTAGGATTTGCAATGATTTTGTAAAATTGTACACCTCTATTCCTAATTTCATGAGCACATATTTTTACTAATGCATATTTGGTAATAACGGGCGGAAAACGTTTTCAAATTATAACCCAATTATGAATAAGGTATTCTAACCTTACATAATGGTAATTTTCAACAGAATTGCAGGTTTGTAATTCGTCAATGTTTTTGCTGGCATAACATCCATCCACTCATATTCCCACTGAAATAATTTATTAAATATTTGTCTAATTTTAAAGACGTACTAATTAAGCAATAACTCTTTTGTGTGAATCAACAATTTTCACGTCTGTAAATAATTTGGTGCAATATATATATTGAATAAAAACAGTTACAATTTTTAAAGCGTTTTGTATCGTTTGCACTTCCAAGAGCGAGCAAATTAAACCACAGTTTATGGAACTGGGGATAAACTGAATCTCGCATTTCTGTTCAAAAAGACACCTTTCTCCTCTCCTATTTGCCCCTGCGCCTACAGGGCGACAAATCGCTTTCCCATTGTCCCAAGCGTTGCCCCCAGTTTCTATAGATGCCAACCTCGATCCCAGGCTTTATAGATGCCCCCATAGGATGCCCCCAGAGCACCAAAACGAGCTTCAGAGGTGGGAGAATGAAACCCAATCTTGGTTACATCCTCGCAAAGTATTATGGGATAGTCCTCTTCTCTACCGGCCTCCATCTTGGAAAGGTTGTATAAAAATGAAATATAATAAAAATGTCAGTTCTTCTCGGCGTAAAAGCCGCAAAGCACATTTTACAGCGCCATCAAGTGTAAGACGAAAGCTTATGAGTGCCCCATTGTGTAAAGACCTTCGTCAGAAATACAATGTACGCTCTTTACCCATCCGCAAAGATGACGAGGTTCAAGTCACACGTGGCCATCATAAAGGTACATATTTCTAAGATTAATTGAAGTGTACGGCCGCCATACGTTAGCGCCGAATAGGTGGACTACCTCGGTAATTAAAAAGTCTTTTATTTTTGTCCGTGGATAGTCGAATTCATGAATAAAACTTGTCTTGGTAAATAAAACTTCATATCTTGTTGGAGGTTGTATATTTTATACGAATCATTTGATTCATTTCCACATAAATTATGTTGTTTTATATGGTAGCCAAGCTTTTACACAAGTATTGGAGTAAAAAGTAGTTTCTAGTAGTTTTTAAATGTAAATTTTAAAATTTTCTTTGCATATATTCATGACACAGTTGCTATAGCCATTCATTAGACAGTTGCTATAGCCCTGACTGGAAAGTTTGGAAATTGCGTTGGGGAGATTTTGAAAATTTAATAGTAAATATATGGAAAGCATCAAAATTGCACGGGCGATATCTCCCCCGTGTGATATCTCCCCCGTGTGATACAAACTTTTCACACTAGGCTTAGCCTATAGGAAACAGCTATAGAGGGAGGGCTCAAAGCTATATTGTTATCCAGCCCTCGAAAACCGTCAGAATTGAGGTCGGCAAAAAAATGCCGACCCAAATCTGACCCCTAGGTCAGCACGTCTCAGCATTTTTTAAAATCTGTTTCCATGTCTTGGAGCACTAGTAATCGCGTATTTACAAATCGGAATATAAAGCATGCCATTTTCCACAGAAACGCAAATTACAGTAGCACGCAAATTACAGTCTTACCTAAATTATATATGGAATACCTGTCAATTTTTAAACCTTACACCGAAGTGTGTTTAGCTAATCGAACTACAAATTGAATTCTGTAATCGCTGACTTTTTAACAGCAATCAGCACCAAAAAATTCTTACTTTGGCTCAATTAGGGTCGGCAAAAATTTGCCGACCTGGGAGGTTGATAGGTCGGCATTGCCGAATGCCGACCTTGTTTTCAACTGCTGGTTATCTGAGGTTATACCTACTTGTTTAAAGGTCAACAGGTTGGCAAAGTTATCCAGACATACCGAAAAAAATGGGTAATACACATTGAAAGAATTCAGCGCGATAAAGCCAATGGTGCAACAGTTAGTGTTGGTATTCACCCAAGCAAGGTAGAGATTGTCAAATTAAAGTTGGACAAAGATCGTAAAGCCATCTTAGAAAGAAAGGACAGGAAGAGATTGACTGAGAAAGGAAAGGGGAAACATACTGAAGAAGATGTTGCTATGGCGACTGCTGATTGAACTTTTTAAGTAAGTATATGCAAGAAAAAAAAGGTATAATTTTTAGAATGACATGCAAACCTATAAAATTGCACATGTAATCATATTCAAGCTTTAGGCGTAAAAAAATACCTGTGGTTCCGGTTTCATATCGTGAAAAAATTAGGTCGGTAGGTCGGAAATATATATTTTTTTTTGAATATTTTTTTCATGGTTTTGGCAGTTTTTTGCTGGGCGATTTGCAGTAGAGTCCCGACATCAATGTTAACTAGAGATGCGTATTTCCTATGGATGAATTTAGGCAATTTGGTTCAATAATTAGTGTGACAACAGATGCCATTTTGGCACGCTGTATGAGCAGCCCGCAACCACCTGGATAAAATAGGGTCGCACGGTCAATCACATTGAAAAAATAATAGGGTCGGCAGAAAAAAATAGGGTCGGTCGGGAACCGGAACCACAGGGGTTTTTTTTACGCCTTAAGAAACAGAAAAATGCCAACACATGAGGCAATTTCTAGTAAATATCCTTTGCACTACTCCCAGACCACTACTAAGATAACTACTACTCTTATAATTAAAATAAAGTTCAAATAGACTAAATTTACAATTAATTAAGTTCAGTCATTTCCTTGTACAGTAATTTTAAAAATCTAATTGTATGTGCATTGAAAATGTGTATAACTATTAGAGTAATTTAAAAATATCTACAAGATTTTATAACTTGCTTACATCCTTGTTTTTAGACAGATTTTTTGAAATTTTAATGATTACTGTATTTGAAAATTATTCACTTCAAATGGTTCTAATGATAGCTTTTTTCCTTTTTAGGACTACATCAAATTTGACATAAAATCTTGTGGTATAATGAAGTAAATAAATCTTTCCAACCCAATCTATATTGTAATTAACTGTTGTTTTTTGGTCCTTAGTATTGAGCAGTTATTATGGAAAATGTTTATTTCAACTTGTACATGTTAGGGCTTGTTTATATGGGGTGAGCTAGCTCAGTTTCTGCTTATAAAAATTAGTCCCCGAGCCAACGCCCGGAACGAGGGTACTAATTCCGACCAGCTATTTACAACCGGAGAAAAGAAAGCATTAGCAAAGTCTAAAGTTCATCAATGAGCGAGGGCGTGTGACTATGGTTCATGGGTGGACCTCCTCACTGATCTCAAAAATATGGCTGTGCCAGGAGTGGGATAACCAAGATTTCAATTTTCAAAAGCATATATTTGGAAAATCACGTTTCACACAATGAGCTTTGAAGCAATTTTTGTTTAAAGAAATGAGAAGAATTGATTTACTATGGGAATTGTGAAATATAGTGCAAGTTTGCTTTGAATGTTTATGAATTTTGTACCCTGGTTGCCAGAGGTTCTGTATCTTTCTCCAGGGTATGAATTTTGTTGCTTTTATAAATAATTTCTTGCGTATTAAAAGTACATGCAGCTTTCCTTTTCAGTCAAGCTGTAAGTTTCCTAAATTACCCTGTTTAACTTAAGAAGAAAAGGTAAAATGTAACGGAGAGCAAATTTATTTCAAGACCTAACTTGAAGAAATTAGATTTATAGCAAATGGTCTATTTTGCCATTTTTGCACTCAGCTCTCCTATTCTCTCTCCGTTTTTTCACAGATGGCTAAACAATGCAACTTGACCTTTTCAGTTTTGCATACAAATTGCCATTTCTGATAGTGTGGTGTTGACATTTTGCTCTTTGACTTTATGCACATCACTCATATTCAAATGAGATAAAATGAGCAATTGCACTCTATTAACACAAATTTGAAAATTTTGGGCTAATTTAATTGAAAATTATGCTATTGTCAATTCCAAGTGCTGCATTTTAATAAGTGTTAATTGCAGAAGGCCTTAATAACATTTCAAATAGAGCTTTTGCACTTGTTCTCCAGGGACCAACACAACAAAAGCCATGTTGGTGTTCCAGACAAAAGAGAGTAATTAAAATTCTTTTGAATTTGGAACACCAACATGGTGGCTGTGACATAATTGTGCAAACGCTCTATTGTCCAGTCGTGGTGATACACCTTTGTAGGCATGTCGAAAGTAAATAAAAGCCTGTGACTGTTGGTAGCCAGTTGTTAGTGCCAGGGTGGCCTCACAGTCCCACCTCTACAAAGCAACCAAGTGCACACGTTTGCGTGTAGTCTACGAAGAAATTGCATGGATGAAATGGCCAACGAGGAGCGTGAAGACAAATTCGAGATTCGCATACTCACTAAAACATCTACAGGTCTAAAGAAGTATTTCTTAGATGCATTAGAGAAAGAAAAGTTTCTTCCAGCGTTAGATGACATCGAATGCTACCTTGCTTGCGACCCAACTTCACTTCTTGTTGGCGAGTTGAACGGAAAACCTATAGCAATTGCTGCTGCGTTTAAATACGAAGAGCAGTACTCTCATTTCGGGTGTTATGTGGTTGATGAAGCTTATAGAGGACAAGGCTATGGTTTGAAAATTACAACAGAAGCAAGACGACGATCTGAGCCCGACGGCGTAGAAACTGGTTATACTGTGCCTGAGATGCTTGAAAATTACAAAAAGATGTGCATGGCTGTTCCGCATTGGCCAGTAGAGCAACATATGGTGGATGTCCCAAACGCTTTAACCCTCTTAAACGATGGTACAAGTACCAATGGAGGTGCTAGTCTAGTTGTTGATATCAAACAAGTCGGCGAAATTGATGTGAAATCTGTATGTAACTATGATACTAAAATATTTGGTTATAAGAGAGAGAAATTTCTAGAGCGATTACTTCAAGTCAGTCACGCTCGTGTGGCGGTAAGCCAACAAAATGAAATTGTTGGTTATGCGGCTGCTAGGGTGCTGTACAAACCAGATAGCGGGTATAAAGTTGGTCCTGTGTTCGGTGAATCTTTCGAAATTGCCAAGTCTCTTCTCAAGGAAATATTTCAAGAAATCATGGAGTGTGGACGATCTTCCAAAAAAACTGTTGTGATAAATTTTCCTGTAGTAGTGAACCCAGACGCGAACAAACTTGCAAAACTTTTGTGTGGTAAAATTTTAATGAAATGTATGTTTGTATCTTGTAATGGTTTACCTAAGTCTGACTTCACAAAATGGTTTGCAATAACTACACTTGACGCAGGATAAAACTGATTTCCACCTTTAGACTTTAGTGGAAAGGTACTGTGATTGGATGGACATGGTATTTTATGTAAATCGTAATTATAATGCTGCAGTAGTGTAATGTAGAGACTAGTGAGTAGTGGTGTGTAAATTTGAAACTGCTTTAATAATATAAAGTTTGTTCGTTCACTGCAACCACGGTTCTATTAACCGTGCTGCAACCAGGTATATCAATCATGTTTCGCTCGCTACTCCGGTTTAAATAAATGATTACAAAGCCCAGTCGAATTGTAATCAAGACCCAACGTTTCGACACTCCAGTCTAGTGTCTTCATCAGGGGTGATCTAAAACTGCGATCGTGGCTTCTTAAATGAGGGATGACGTCACCTGGCATGACTGCTTTAATAATGTTATCAATGTTTAGAATAAATTCAATTTCGCAATGCTCCAATGAGCATAAGTTCTCGTTGTGTTGTGTTGTGCCGAGGCTGCCTATTATGATTTCTTGTTGCTCGGGCCCTTTCTTCCACAGAAAACTTGAAGTTAATGCCGACTGAATAGAAAGAGATGTTTATTAGGCCTGCTTTATACGTCGATTTTTGGTCGCGTCGAATGCAATTAAGACAATAGATAATGAGATGATAAACCTCATAAGCTTTATCTATTGTTTGAATTGCATTCGACGCGACCAAAATTCGACGTATAAAACGGGCCTTACATTTCTATAGGCTCTACAGAGCGCCTTGTTCCTTTTCAGATTCAAAAGTGATTGCATGCAATAATTTCGCATGCAATAATGTCAATAATTTAGTTTTGTAAAGCGATTTTGTATTGATATAACTCGTATATGTATCTCTCGCCCCTAAAATAAGTGATTTTGTATCGATTGAACTCGTAAATGTATCCTTATCACGGATATTATACATCGCACTCTATATTATTAGCCTATCTATTATACATCATCACGGATATTATACATCGTCTGGTCCATACAATCACAGAAGGGCCACTCGCGTCGGAAGCTTTGACGTTTCTGTCATAGATATAGGAGATCTAGATTGCTAACGCATACCTAGCGCAGGCGGGGCCTACATGATAAATCCAAGATGGCGGTACAAGAGGGCAAAAAGACTATAGATTCTATTACGAAAATCAAGATTTTTGCATTTTTTGCCGTCGCATTGTTTTGAAACTTATTCGGTCAAATTTTATGGTAAAGAGAAACTTACCGCGAAGATTTTGAGCATATGTATGATTGAATTGGATGAAAACTCGCAAAATTATCCAGCGATAAAAGTTCGTGTATAGTACTGATATAGTACTATATATGTAACTTGTACAGTTTTGCTTTAATTTTTGCTCACTATTTGCATAGAAAGCAAATTATAACAGACCATAGATGATAGACCCTTATCCAGTGCTCTCATCAGTTTACTTCTCTAACAAGCAAGGAGGGGGGGGGGGGTACATAACAGTTCATTTTTCATAATTATGAGGACAGAGCAGATGATGATGAAAGACGAAAGTATAAAACACCATTCACAAGACTAGATGTTAACATAGTACAGTATTTCTGGCAATAAAACTCTCCAACTGACCAACTGACCATTTCACACGAACTTTTATCGCTGGATAATTTTGTCGCTAGGTATGCGTTAGCAATCTAGATCTCCTATATCTATGGTTTCTGTCCTCGCGCATTATGCATGTTGACCGCCATTTTCCTAGCCAGTCAATGACATTTTCTGGCCAATAAACACGCTGGCTGGCTGCTCCGCCTTCTGGCCAGTAAACTGCATAATATTTTTACATAAAAAACCAGGGTTGGTAGGTTTGCTGAATAATTAGGCCAAACACCGTCACACTATAGGCCTTAGTTTTCTTTATACTCTTGGCCTTTTGTTTTCTAAACGGCACTAATGACGATTTGGCCTAATTCCGACACGTTGCACCGCTGAGTGGCCCTTACTGATCTTTGTATTCTTACTGATCTTTGTATTCTTACTGATCTTTGTATTCTGCGCCAAGGTCTTTCTTGGTGCCCTTCCACGAGCCATTTCTTCTTCGTCGTTGAGATATCTTGCCGTTTCCGTAGTGATATCGAAGGCGTCTGTGAAATGGCCAACGAGGAGCGTGGAGACAAATTCGAGATTCGCACACTCACTAAAACATCTACAGGTCTGAAGAAGTATTTCTTAGATGTATTAGAGAAAGAAAAGTATTTTCCAGCGTTAGATGACATCGAATGCTACCTTGCTTGCGACCCAACTTCACTTCTTGTTGGCGAGTTGAACGGAAAACCTACAGCAATTATTGCTTCGTTTAAATACGAAGAACAGTACTGTCATGTCAGTTGTTATGTGGTTGATAAAGCTTATAGAGGACAAGGCTTGGTTTGAAAATTACAGCGCACAAGTGTCTTTTTATGCTGTGCCTGAGATGCTGGAAAATTACAAAAAGATGTTCATGGCTGTTCCGCATTGGCCGGTAGAGATGCATATGGTGGATATCTCAAACGCTTTAGCCCTCTTAAACGATAGTACTAATGGAGGTGCTAGTCTAGTTGTTGATATCAAACAAGTCGGCGAAATTGGTGTGAAAGCTGCATGTAATTATAATACTAAAATATTTGGTTATAAGCGAGAGAAATTTCTAGAGCGATTACTTCAAGTCAGTCACGCTCGTGTGGCGGTGAACCAACAAAATGAAATTGTTGGTTATGCGGCTGCCAGGGTGCTGTACAAACCAGATAGCGGGTATAAAGTTGGTCCTGTGTTCGGTGAATCTTTCGAAATTGCCAAGTCTCTTCTCAAGGAAATATTTCAAGAAATCATGGAGTGTGGACGATCTTCCAAAAAAGCTGTTGTGATAAATTTTCCTGTTGTAGTGAATCCGGACGCGAACAAACTTGCAAAACGTTTGTGTGGTAAAATTTTAATGAAATGTATGTTTGTATCTTGTAATGGTTTACCTAAGTCTGACTTCACAAAATGGTTTGCAGTAACTACACTTGAAGCAGGATAAAACTGATTTCCACCTTTAGACTTTAGTGGAAAGGTACTGTAATTGCATGGTATTTTATGTGAATCGTAAATTGTAATGCACAGGGACGCCGGAACGATGTGAAGGCAAGGGGGGGGGGGGGCAGATTTTCGTGAAAGGGCACTTTTGAATTGATATATACTAAGAGATGTTTGCAAAACATCGGGAGTTGAACTTTGCCTAATCATGTTTTCTATTTATTGGATGATGGGGGTGTGAGGGGGTTCTCCGCCAGGCGATTGCGCTATTCTTGAAGCTCGATGACTGCATTTCTTGCGTTTTCTGAAGCAAATTCGTAAAAGAATTGCACTGACATTTCTGACAATTCGCTATTTCGCCAAGGCAATTATTTGAATTGAAAGGGCACCTTTGCCCCCCTTGACCCTCCTGGTAAAGGGCAAGGGGGGCGGCTGCCCCTCCTGCCCC